AGTAAAGTCACTTTTCGAACATATCACATCGACAAAGGCTAATCAGATCTTGAGATATAACGATTTTAAAAAAATCACGTGACCACTCCACTTGAAATCGACCGGAAATTCTACGGACAGAGTTTAGGGACAGAATATGGTCACGTGACAGATTATGGTCACGTGACAGATTATGGTCACGTGATATACCGGATGGCTCAAATCATGTGACACAACTACAAGAAAATTATTTTGATAATAAAATGCCCTAAACTATATACTTCTGACCACTCATAAATATATTCCCTTTAAAAAGTTTCAAGCAATTTATTTAATAAACATTCAAGATTTATAGTATATAAGAAATTATATCGGAATGTTAAATTTGTATACTGTAAAGCTAATAAAAATCTGTTAGATAAGCGCCGCAAAGGTAAAACCTGCAATTGTTCATTAAAAAAAATTACAGGCTTTCCCTTTGCGGCAGCCAAATTATACAATTATTAATTAAATTATTACTTTGAACCTCGATAATTGTACTAATTCTCAATACGATTAGATCAATGTTAAAATTGTCTAAATTGTTTCTTAAAATAAATTATGATCAAAATTGTTTCATCCCATAATAAAAATTTGTAAGAATCATAATCAATGCCGGAAACTAAAGATTATTAATTGATAATTCTGAAACCTGCATATAAATGCTTCCCATGTAGAAAGGTGAATATAACCAAAAAGAGAAATAGTATAGTGATCGTAATGCAGTTGCAAAACGTAGCAAATTTTAATAATACTATTCAAGAAAAGCTTATATCCTATTTGCCACATGTGTTTAAGAATTGATGCAAAGGAAAATACTATTTCTAACATTCAGTAAAGGAAAGTTAATTAGCATCTTACCGGTTTTTTCTTTACAGCCAAGCTAATTATAAAAAAAAAACAAAATATATTGTTCAAAATCACGCCGTCATAATTTCTCACTAAAAATAAATTCAGTATTAATAAATTAGTGGTAATCGTATATAAAGACAAATCTCATTTTTTAAAAATACTTATTATTTTCATTTGGAATAAACATTTTGTCGAAAAACAAGACCGATCGTACTAACTACTCAAAATTTTAATTAATTCAAATAAAATGATTAAATTTAGTGAAGAAAAAAATTAATAAATAAAATAAACTACCTATCATCATGTTGCCATCACAACCACAAGTTCCAGAAATTGGTAGCAAATTCCAAACAGTAGAAAGTTTTAAGGAAGCTGCTCAACAAGGTGCTAAAGCAGCGAGTTTTGCTTTTAGTGTGTCATCGTCAAAAATGTCACGTGATGAAAAAGGTGGCCAAGCTCCCTATATTATTTTACAATGTACAATAGGGGGCGAGTATAGAAATAATCATAATATTACTGAAGAAACCAGGAAAAGGATTAAATTTACAAAGCGTCAAGGCTGCCCTGTTGCTTTGTATGCTGTTTTGGATGAGAAAGCCGGTGTTTGGATAGTACGATCTTATAAAGATCAGCATTCTCATGAACTCCTCCTTCCGTCACAAGTTCACTGCCTCTCTCAACATCGACAGCTTAATACAGAACAAAAGGAGCTAGTTCATATGATGCTCAAAAGTGGAGTACCAATTCAGTCAGTTGCTGATGCGGTACAATGGAAGCATGGTACTGTGTATACGAAAGATATCGTTAATGAACGTGATAGAATTAGAAATGCTCTGAATGAAGGCTCAAATAATGATACAACTATGCGGCTTTTTGCAGATGTTAGAAGAACGCCAGTACGTAGTTCGCCATCTATTATCAAAAGATGGTTGTATAAAAACCTATTTTTTACCCATATTGAAGCTGCGTGTCGTGCTGCTATATGTCCGGAGGTGCTAATCATTGATGCAACTTATAAAACAAATTTGTACAAGCTCCCTTTAATAAATTCTGTTGGTGTTAATAATATTGGCAAAGCAAAATCCCTTGATACATACCAAATCACAATGGCATGGGTAGAAAACGAAAAGGAATATATCTACGAATGGTTTTTAAATACGTTAAAAGAAACAGTCTATGATGTTTTTTTTTGTTCTCCGGAAGTATTTGTTTCAGATAAATCCCAAGCTCTTCGAAATGCAGCAAATAAAGTTTTTCCAAATACAAAAAAAATGCTCTGTATCTGGCACATGCTTGCCCAAAACTTACGTACTGCATGCAAAAAGTTTTTTGATTCTGATGATGATTATGAAAAATTATTGCTATCAATTCAAAAAGTTGCTTATGCCGAGGAGATGAGTATAGTCGAAGAAGCATTTGAAGAGGTAAAGCAAGCAGCGATGAAGAGTAGAGACCCTAATTATATTCAAAATTACTTTGAGGAATGGAAAAAGGATTCAGAATGTTGGATGCATGTTTATACAAAACATTATCCTCATATGGGAGTCCAATCAACGCAACGAGCAAAAGGAAGCCATAGCAGTTTAAAAAAAGCAATTGAGGCAGCAAGCGGGCTAAATCAGGTATTTTTACATATCAATCATGCCTTTCGTCAACATCAACTACAAAAAACGGAGCTTTAGGTCTGAATATAATTTCAGCTGATCCATTTATACTTAATAATACGAAATTTGAACAGTTGGTCGGAAAAATTTCTAGATGGGCAATTGATCGAATAAAAAAAGAAATATGTGAGGCTCAAGAAAATTATGATAATACAAATAATAGCGTTTGCAACTGTAGCTTGAGACTAAATTTCAAACTACCATGTCGTCACATAATTCCATCAACAGGGCCCATCCCACTTTCAATTATCCACCCCCGCTGGCTTCTAAAACATGATTCTGTACCTTTATTACCTTCATCTTTGTCAACTGATACAGCTTTTAATAAGGCTTTGTATATGCTTAAAGAAAAATATGCAAATTTAAATGATAGTGGGTCTAAAGCTTCATTGTTACATAAAATCGAAGCACTTATTGCTGAAGAAATTGTAATTCCAAAAGCACCAGTACGTACTGAAAATATAAGACAACCAGCTTCTACCAAACGAGATCTTCTTCGTAGCGAACTACAAGATAAGGCTGCTAAAAAAAAAGAGAAAAATACACCAAAATTTACAACTGATTTACCAAAATCGCAGCAGCTTTTATATCATAACCAAATACCTACCAATATGCATGAACACATAAAAAAGGTAATTAATGTGGATGGAGATGGTAATTGTGGGTATAGAGCACTAGCTATATGTTTACAAAGAGATGAAAATGAGTGGTCAGAGATTCGAAAGGAATTACAAAAAGAATTAATTACAAAAGAACAATTCTATCGTACCTTGTTTCTAGCCAACGATGATTATGAGACAATTATGAAAGAGATCTCTTGGGCAAATGGCCCTTGTACATTCGAACATTGGATGAGAATGCCACAGATGGGAGATGTTATAGCAAATGCCTACCAAAGGCCACAGTACTTTTTTTCACTACAAATTAATCTTACCTTTCTTCCACATCACCATCCATTAAATCGAAATGAAGCACTTGCAATAGCCTTCGTTAATAATAATCATTATGTGGCTATTACATTGAAGCCTGGTGCCCCTGTACCACCAATTGTAAATTGATGGACACAGTTTGCTACCTCGACCGCGATAAGATGGAAGCTACTAATTCAAAATCGTATTGATCGCTTTCTTATAATAAGTAGTTCATCTAATGAAGTAGATCAAAAAATAATAATAATAAATTAATTCCAATAAATTAACTTTCATATAGATAGACAAATTTGATAATACGCCCCAAGCATTGGTTTAATCGAATAAAGTAACCATTTTTATCTTGCAAGTTTATTGAGCAAAAAAATTAACGCTAAAATGCTAGATTACTAAAAGATCTACAATCTAATTACTGTTAAGTTTTATCACGTGATTTGAGCTATCCGGTATATCACGTGACCATATTCTATCACGTGACTATATTCTGTCCCTAAACTCTGTCCGTAGAATTTCCGGAACATGAAATCTACGGACAGTGCTTAGGGACAGTGCGATCACGTGATAATAAACAGTGCGGTCATGTGATGCATAGGACAGCGCAGTCATGTGATGCGGCTTTAGATATAAATAATAGACTCCAATTTGATTTTTCTTACTTTCGCTACAGTATGATAAAATGAATTGGTCCAAAATATTTATACGGTGCTATTTAAATATAAATAATTAAGTCAAATATTC